AAAATGATAAAATATGATTAAATATTTTAAAAAATTATTTTCATTGATTTGGCATATAAATGGAGCTAGAATTCAATCTAAATAACTATTTTTTGAATCAACGAGATAAAGGAGCGTTGAATATGAAATTTGATGATTTAAAACATTAGCTTTGCAAGGAATAACCAAAAGAAAAATAAAAGTTGGATTAGAGGTAGTTAGAGTGGAGAGAAAAACTGATGTATTATTAGAGTAGGATGACTCTGACTAATCAACTGTTCTAACTGAAATTTAAGTGTGAGATATCCTATGATGAAATTTTAAGCAGACTATACACCAGTCTTTTGTTGAATTTACTGACTATGGACTTTTTCGTTTTTTTTTTCTTATTACTATTTTTAGCAACTTTATATTTATCCGTGCGAAATGGATTTCATTTTCAAGTTAACTTTTTTTTTTCTATAAAATTAGGAATTTAAAATCTAAAGTTACCATCGTTTAAAAGGAATATTACTTAAATACTGCCCTAATTACATAAAGTTATTACTGCCATGGCCTCCATGGTCAACTATAACTTTTTATGTCACAATGCAAGCAATTAATTTTGGACTGATCATTAGTGATATCGGATTCCAACCATCCTGCTTTATATGTTCTTGTGCGAGCTTCTCCTGACAAAATCTAAAAGACCAATCGTTCCCTTCACCATTTTAATTTCGAAGCAGTCTCATGCTCTGGTTTCTTCTTTTCACATTTGGATTTTGGCAGTTGGGCACCACAATCGCAGCACATGCTCCACATCCAAGCCAGAAGATAATAAAACAACTAGCTTGTTTGACATATATGTTTAATACTAACAATTTAAAGTTCAGGGGCTTATGAATGGATTTGGACCTCAACTTCGAAGAGAAGAATTTTGATCTTATTGAAGATAAAAGGATGAGACCCTGCTATGGAGTTTCGAACCAGAGAATTGCAACCATCCACTCTAGCCCCCGCTTCAAACTCACCATGTGAAGACACTCCATACCTGAAAAAATCAATATATATTTACATACATATAAATATAAAAACATACAAGAAATATCATATTAATTAAGAAGAAAAATTTTTATCTACTCTAATTAAATTTCAACTGAATCATTCTAATAATTAATAAATGATTTTTGCATTTCAATTTTACTTATATCAAACAAGTAAAAAGGATGTAAGTAGATAAAATGTTCTCCAATTTGAAACCCTTTGGATCCATGCATCGCTTTCCTCCGCTCTTTGCCTAACCTTCTATCAATTGCAATGTTTTAAATTAAATTAAAAAAAAGGAAAAAAAAAAAGATTGGAATGTAAAGCACTGTAATTAAACGCAGATTGAGTAAATTTCAATAGTAATTTGGCACTTGACATTAATTAAATTGAAACTGGAGTATATGAATAATGAGTTCACAGACTCCTTTACTAAAAGTCTAAAAACAAATAATAACATAAACCAAGATCTCATCAATCACAAACAATCAACATTGGCCAGCAGTTAAAATTATAGACCAATTAGAATTAACATAATAAAGCTAAAACTATCTCTGTCAGATATAAAATAGAGAGGGATGCATAAGGGAAATACACTACTGAACAAAAGCCCAGTTGTGCTCTCTACGAACCTCTTCCTCTTCCTACGAAGTTTACTGAATTATAATATCAGAAGTCTTTCAAATCTGCTCAGAAACCATTCCATTTATCATATCATGGGGCAAGCCTGCTAAAACTAGCGTTTATATTATTGTTTGGTGTTCAAATCTAGTTTCTCAAGACAGGAAATTTTTCCCCTTCACAATTTTTGGATAGCATGCATGTTTCCATATGCCAATTTCCACTTCGATTCTAAATTTTAGACCATTCTCTTCTTCATAAGTTGGGATCTTGGAAAGCCCAAATGTCAAAAGTTTAGATACCAAACAATGCCAAATTTGTATAATCTAACAAGAAGTATAATCACTCCTGCTGGAAACATCCTCATTAGAGAAGTTCAACGCTTCAGAATAAAAAAAGAAGAGTGGGTTAAAAGCATACCAACCGTTACATTTTGCAAGAACAAATGGAACCATGTCGATTTGCATAACAGAAAAAAGGAATAGCAAATTTAAGTCTCAAGAAGTAAACAAGCTTTCATTAACTTTATGAAACCAGAGAAGGTAACACACTTCACATATCGTAGCTATTTTGCCAACAAAGTTCAGAAAATATATGCTGCATGTGTAATTGAAGAGCCATTGTTTTCAAGTGATCCTAATCCACTTAATACTAAATATTTTGCTCCTACCAAATTAGATATTTCTGATGTAAGATCAGACTAAGCCGCAACCATAGTGTATACTTATAATTTAAATTATAAGAAATTATTCTAACACTAAAAGCTACGCCTAACAACTAGGCTCTGATACCACTCACTGGGAAAATTGCTATTTTCCCAGATCGGCTTCAAGCAGTAACAAATGAGAAAATAAAAATAATGACTGAGAAATTAAACAGAACACGGTAGTTTAACGTGGAAAACTCTCCAAGTAGAGAAAAAACCACGACCGTTGCCAAATGACAACAAAAAAAAAATTTACTATGCGGCAAATTGTTACAACCACAATTACAAAATATTTTTCTACCCGACACCCTCAAAACACCCCAAATATTTTATACTCCAAAGGACTCCATTGCTTAAAATCCCTAATATTAAAAACACATTCAAGTGTGTTTTGGTGTGTTTAGAAACCTAAACATTGGCTTCCTTTTATAGCCAAACCACCTACCCTCAAAAGCTCATCTCCCCGATGTGGGATTGAGATAAACTTTTTTTTTTTTTTAATTTGTTTTCAACAAAGGCGGCTAACAGTCTCCACCTTGAAAATAAAATTAAAAAAAAACATAACATTGTCTGCTAACGACAATCATAATTCTTATGGTCAAGAATTATCATACTCCACCATAAAAGAGTATCGCCACTTGGAACCACTTTACCGACTCCAAGAAATTTCCATCGGCCATGTCGGATCCCACTAATGTTTATGGTTGCAAACCCTCCTGTTGACTTTCCGAGAATTCATTAGCCCATCGACATATTTTTTTTCCACCACCACCACTTTGCATCAACTGTCAACCAATTTGCATGCCGCATTTTCGTGGACCAGCTACCAATAATCCGTCCTCTTCCATGGCATCTCAACGTAGCAATCCATGCCATGAGGACACCCATCTCTCAATTACAAAGAAACACATCATCTGCCTTCGGCCACAGGAGATCACATTGGCAGCAAACAACTAGAGCTTCTAGCCGAAATCAGCTCCACCGTTCGGGCAATCCTTCCTCAGTGTCCAGTTTGACCAACAACCCAGCAGACAACCCTTCCTCTTTCCGGAGCTTTCTTTCGTTTTCCTAGTTACCGACAGATAAAGCGTGAATCCTCATATTCGACAAATAAAGCTGAATCCTCATATGATTTATTTTTCATTTCATTCAGTCTTCTCTCCTCAGTAAGGAGCTTACTAACCACATCCGCATACACCAATTCCTTACTACCATATTTCAGAACAGGTTTCATATGCTCATATGTTGAAGAAAGTGACAGGATGAGTCGGAGAGCTTTATCTTCATTTTCGGTTTGCACTCCAAGAGTTTCTAATTCAGAGACGATGCCATTAAGAACACTCAGGTGATCTGACAGTTTTATACCTTCCGCCATTTTCAATGTATGAAATTGCTCTTTCAAATATAACTTATTGGATATATTTTTTCCCTGGTACAATTCTTCCAGTTTCTCCCACAACTCTTTTGTCGTGGACAATCCAAGGACATGAGAAAGAACATTTTTTGCTAGACACATGCGAATTTGTGCCGCTTTGATATCCAGCTCCTCCCATTCTTCATCGCTAATCTTGGATTTTCTGAGTCTCTACTGCCACTGTCTTTTCCTGAATTCTTTTCGCTGACTGGTTTACCCTGTAAAACCTTATGCAGTCCAGACTGAATCAACACGTCTTTGACTTGCACTTGCCACAATGCAAAATTCATTCTCCTGTCAAATTTCTCAATCTCACATCTCATAGCCGACATGCTTACTTATGCTTATAACAGTGAACCCAATAATTAATGAAGTAAACTGTAGTGAAGTAAACCGATTCGGCAAGATACCAGGAAAGAATCACAATGATCTCCTAGACAATATTACCAATTCCACGGTATAAATCCCAATTGGGCGGAGGGGTCACAATTGGTCCCACTTAAATCCGGCCTTCTAGACAGAAGTTAACGTGCACGGTAAATTTCAGAACTTTCGGTACTAGGAATAACTTCAATAAGTTATCATCAGGACCTTCACACCGTACTCTAAGCACAACCAAAGCTAAAGCTCCCACCCGCTGTCAAGACTTCCAAACTCCCAACCTGCTTTTAAAATTAAAAAATTTCTCTGTAACCACCTCTTTCTGGATGTGGAAAGATTCAACAAGCGCAACCACAGTGCATACTTATAATTTTTAAATTAAGAAATTATTTTAAACACTAAAAGCTCACTAACAGACCTAGGCTCTGATCCACTTGTTGGGAAATCGGCTATTTTCCCGCCCTTCCGGAATCGGCTTCAAGCAGTAACAGAATGAGAAAATTAAAATAAGTGACTGAGAAATTAAAAAGAACAACGATAATTTAACGTGGCAAACTCCCCCAAGTGGAGAAAAACTCACGGCCCGTATGCCACGACAACCAAGGAAACATATTCACTATGCGGCAATTTGGTTACAACCACCAATTACAAAATATTTTGCTACCACGACCACCCTCAACAACAGTTCCAAATATTTTATACTCCAAGGGACTCCAAGAGACTTGCTCTAAATCCCTAATTATAAACCACATTCAATGTGTTTTGGGTGTGTTTAAAACCTAAACATTGGCTTTCTTTTATAAGCGAAACACCTTACCTCAAAACTCAATCTCCCCCGATGTGGATTGAGCTAAACCAAACCTTTTTTTTTTTTTTTCAACAAAGGCGGCTAACATAAGAGTCCTCTGCTCTGAAAACAGGACCGACCCTAAAAACACGTTCTTTATCACCACAGATTGCCATTTGCTTGTGAAGTTGAGGTGCCTGAGCCAAGCATGCTGGTTGGCCTTTGTAGTCCAGCTCTAATACAGTAGGACCATCTTCATTAATGCCTGATACCAAATTTGGGGGTGGATTTCATCAAAATTTTCTGATCTTAAGAACTGCGTGAATATAAAGACAACTTCACTCTGAATATGGAAAATTCCCTGGTTAGCAATTGCTCGCACGTCCAGAACTCTATAATTCAAACATCTAGCTTTCTCAATTTCTTTCTCGCTCCTGCTAGCAACATCAATATTATTTGGAAGAGTCAGCATTGCCCGACTGATACAATGCAATTTCCTCACTTGAACCTCAACCTTCTGAGTCGTTCCCTTTATAGGGACAGACGATAGAACGAAAACAAAACCTTAAACATCAATAATGGATTCCGGGCTAAGGCTAGCCACAAAAACAACCATCTGGTCGCTAACCAATCCAAGTTGAACAGTAATCACACACTGGACTGTAAAACCCTCTGTCTAACCACAACAAGCACCACATCCTTCGTTACACGGATTGTCTCAGCCCGGCCTCTAATCAACACCTCCTTGCCTTTCAACAATCCAGTTAGGTCTTGCACTTTGGTCCACCGACTTAGATCCCGTTCCTCCATCGATTGTAGCTTGTGCAGAGGCAAATCTCCGTAATTGAAGGATAATGGGTCTGCATTCTTATGGATTGAAAGCATTTTCCTACTATGATTAAAATTAGGGATTTAGAAGAAAAGGCAATAGAAGAAGCGAAAAGAGAGAAACAATCTGAAGGGAAGAGTAAACTGATTGTAGTGGAAAAAGGATTCTCAGTGACTATTTATAGTGTTTGAATAACCTACTAATATTAGGATTAGGAATAATAATACATAATAACTAATATATCCCTAAAATTACTAATTTCCATATTTATAATTTTTTGCATTAGGGTTTAATCTTGAAAGGAAAAAAACGAAAATTAGCATACATTACCGTTAAATTTTAAGTCATCTATTGCAACAGAGAAGTCCTGGAGAGGAGCAGGGTCAAATGTAAGCATGGCCACGGTTCCGGAACCGAACCGAAAAGGTCCGGTTCCGGTTTGGAACCGTCCGGTTCTGGTTCCGGTTCCGGTCCGGTGACAAAACCGACGGTTCCGATCGGTTTTTCGGCGAATCGCATAATTTTAAATTTTAAACCGATGGTTTTTTTCGGCGAATAATCGCATTTTATTTAAATTTTGAACGACCAGTTTAAAAATTTTGAAATACAAAAATAAAAAATACACCAAAAAAATTAAAAAATATTCAATTAAATTTAGTTTACAGACTTGAACATATATTTTTTTTAAAAAAATTTCAACCTGATTTATTTTTTTGTGTTTAAAAAAGTTTGAACATAATCCTAACAAAAAAAAGGGCTTTGAACTTAATTTTTTAAAAAAAAAAAAAAAAATTAAGTCCCTACGTATCCTCTTGGTTTAAGGAATCCAAGCCACGTAGTTCTTACTTAACCTTATACCATTTCACCCTTTTACTCTTAAAGTCGTCTATTTGCACCACCGGTTGATGATTTCCGTTGAGGACCATCGTATAAATCATTATTTAAATCTCATTTTCTTTTGGATTTTCCCTCTGGTCCTCTTAGTTCGGCCCGTCCTTGGCCTCCCCAGATCCATGTTTCCACCGCATGACAATGCTTGTGGTTCAAGGAGTGGGACTAGCATTCCTGACTGAAATTACATGAGGGTTCTCAGATATACGAGTATGAGCTACTCTTCATCATAGGATTTGCTATCTCTGGTACATTGACTAAAAGCTCATGTTCAATACCATTGCCGCAGAGCAGTGACGGTAGAATCGCGGGAAGCTGCTAAAAACGTTGGCTTTTGGGCAATTAAGAAAAGGATTGCGAAAAGTCTTGATAATTGTCCGCCCTGACGACGTCAACCCAATAGTCTCCAGCATTTATTTTATGTGAAAAATCTAGTATTCTGCATACATCATTTTCGATAAGCGATCAAACACAACCTCAGGAGAGAGAATGTAGGGTCCAACTACGATGGAGATTTTTATCAGATTTCAGAAATAGATACTGGATTCAACTTGTTCTTTTTTGTCTTTGTAAGTAATAATTTGTTGAGCAACACCAACACCACTTACCCTTTGTGTGGAAATTGTTGAATACTAGATTGAGAAGAAGTGAGTAGATGAACTCGAAACTTGAACCCATTCATTATATGAATTGCATAATATTTTGTTAAACTTCATTGCATTACTCATTTATATTAACATTATTTTCTACATCAAGATTTAATACTTCATAATAAATAGTCCAAATAATCAATAAAACATCAATTTTACATCTAGGATCAGAATACAATAGCAACAGATATTTTTTTTCATTGAAAAAATACATCTTTTAAATAAATCATCTTTTCAAAATTCTTGAGGCACTAACAACTATTAATACACAAAAGGTAAAAATAAACGAGATGTGGGATAATAAACCCCACTAAAATTTAGGTAGCATCATTCAAAATTTTTAAAATATCTAAAATTTTTGCACAAATATCCCAATTTGTGTGGATATAAATTAATACTCCTCATATTATTAGTACAAAAAAGCATATAATTCTAATAAGAAAAAGACCTTCGTTTAGTAATTCATATGTTTGAAATCCAACGAGTTTGGGGACATCCTTGGAAAAACCGTTTTGGTCTTTTTTCTTACTTTTCTTTAAATTTAGCCCAACTTTTTCATCACTTGCGGATGTCCCCATAAATATGAAATAGCTTTTTAATTGGAGAAATAAAGATTCAAAATTTTAAATCCATCTTGTACACATACATGGCATGCACATCTTATATGAAAAAATTTTCCACCAATATTTGGTTCACAAATATTTTTAAGTTCAATAATTGATTTAGTATTAGCAGAAGCATAATCAAATGAAATTGAAAATTTTTTTTTTTGTCAACTTATATTCATCTAAAATTGAAACAACTATTCTATAAATATTATTTGTAGTATGTTTATCATCAAAAACACGAAAAAGCAATAATTATTTTTTGAATTTTCCAATCATCATCAATCCAATGACATTTAATGCCATATAAAAATGCATTTGCCAATGATCACTCCAAATATCACAACAAATTGAAACACGAATTTTCATTTGTTCTAACTCTTTTTTTCCTTTATTATATAAAAAAATAATAGTTTGTTTTACAGTATTTCTTGGCACTCTTTTAGCAAAAGGATTTAAAGCTTTTTGACAATAATTATTAAAACCTACTTTTTCACCAACACCAAAACTAAAAGATAAATGTTCCATAGAAAAACTAAAAGATAAATGTTCCATAAATCATTTTTGGCCATAATTCTTTCTTTTTGTATTTTTTCTAGAATATTTGAATAAAGAAAGGTTAGAAGATGCGTACTCCGGAAATTTCGTGTTTGAGACCGATCAACTCCTATTTTTGTTGGTGTTTTTCTCCAATCTTCAAAATGATCCATAGTCGCCCGCTTGTTTAGAATTTAAAGACCTTTTCCAGCAAAATGCAGAATTACATCGGTACATGTGTTCTCCACCTTTTGAATTTTTTGTGAAATGAATGGCGAATATGTCGGAACTTTGTCTTGCTCTTCCAAAAATTTTGTGCTCGTTCGCTCTTGACCTTGCCTCTTCCTCTTCTTGTAATTTGCTCATTAAATTCAGATTCTTGAGTTGGAAATTTCCAAATTTTCATTGGATATCCTCAAAATTAAATTGGTTGGCGAAGTGAGATCACTAGATGTACGTTTGTAGGGATAGATTGAAATATTGTGTTTCTCCGATCTTTCCTTGACCTTACCCGCATTTGAGTTTCCTCACTTGCCATTATATGATAATAAGATATAATTGAAAATTGAAATAAAAAAAATTAGAGAGAATAAAACTTAATAAGAGAGATTGTAAGTAGAGAATAGTAAATGAATAATATAGATTAGAGTGTAGTATATTGTAGAGAGAGTAAGTAGAGTGCATGTATATTGTAGATGAGAGTAATTAGAGGAGAGTGAGATTTTTTTGTAATGGATTTGTAATGAAATTCGAGGTATTTAATAAATTCAAAATTATTTTTTTTCAAAAATACCTTGAAACTAGTCGTTATGTAGCCGTTTATGGCTATTGGGAGGTGGTAATTAAGAGATTTCACAATAAAATTTTAAAAAAAAAAAAAAAAAACTGGTCTGATAGTTACAACGGCTAGAACCGCCGGTTCAAATCAGCGGTTCTAACTGGACTGGAACCGGAGGTTCCAATCCGGTTCCGGTCGATTTTCTGAAACCGCCGATTTCAGTTCCAGAAAATCTAGAACCGAAATCAAATCGGTTCGGTCCGATTCTAATTCCGGTTCCCCCGAACCGTAATTTGGCCATCTCTAGTCAAATGCAATGGCAGAGGAGAAAACTAAGGCCAAAAAGGAAAAAACGACGTGGAAATTAGCAACTCTCATGATTATACTATATGCACGCTTATTTAGGTCGTCGTACAATTTTGGTAGGTATGAGGGAGTGTGGAGAAATCTTGCATGAGACATGCATATTTATATGTAGATGTCAGATATATATATATTGAAGCTCTATTTTTTTAGCATTCTTTTTTATTTTATCTTTTGGAAATTTTGGGAATTTTTTTTTCTTTATTTTTCTCTGTTTGCTTGGATGGTTATAGTTTTTTTTAATTTTTAAAATTAATATTAATCTAGATAAATAGCAATATTATTTTGAAATCTAATCTTAATTTAACAAACTGATTTTTATTTGGTATTTTATTTTCTTTTTCAAAATTTAAAATTTTTAAAAAATAATTTAGCTTTTGAAAATTTTGATATTTTTCTTTATTTTTTTATGTTTTGATTGATGATTGTTTTGATTGGATGATTATATTTGTTTCATTTTAAAAGTAATATTTACATAATAACAATATATTTTAAAATCTAATCTAATTTAAAAACTATTCTATTTTATTTGGTATTTGGTTTTCATTTTTTCAAAATTTAAATTTTTTTAAAGATAATTTGGCTATTTTGAAAATTTTTAATTTTATACCTGTATCTGTATCTATATATAATTAGTAGTTATTGGCTTCTATTATTGTTTTTGCATAAAATATATAATTAGTTTGTTTTTTATTATATACCTATATGGTTACTGCTTTGCTTTCTTTCTTTTCCTAGTGTGTTGTACATTGAATTTTTGTTTTCTTTCTTTTGAATAGGGCATCAATTAGTATATTTCACACATTTTTACTATATTTACAATCCAGTTATCTTCTCACGGGTAAGCATTAATCATCACACTCGTAGTTTGACTCAATATCTCTTGGAATCATGCATTTCCAAAAAGAGTTTTTTGCTTTCGTTATCGTTTCTACCGACAATGATATCCAATCAAAATTGTGTATGATTGAAATTATATGCTTAAAATTGTTCCATCTGACTTTGAAAAACGATTCTTTTCTTTTTAAAATCTCAATATGTATCATTGTTTAAGTATCAATTTGCCTTTATTAATTTATATTAATATGAACTCTTTCTATTTTTCAGTATAGCTTCAAGCAGAAAAGAAGTTGATACTGATATAAAACATTTTTTTC